AGTGTAGAGGAAGCAGACGCAGAAGAACACGAGCACAGTGGGTCCCTTTGGTGCCCGTCCTCCCTGCTTTCCACGGCCCCCTGTGCACACTCCTTTAGCATCAGTGGGCCCTGGATCACTCGCTAGGATGCAAAATCAAAATAGGACCACCACAGAGAGGAGGGCCTATTACCTAAAGCCACGCTCTCTGGAAGTGGCTCCTCGGCTCATTCGTCCAAAGGTGGGGAAAATAGGCAGGGGCTGAGTGCAGAGGACCTGCATTAGCTGTACCGACCAACTTAAATCCACTGTGTGGGCAGAGCTGTGTGTCACTCCTGTTTTATTAACCACCGCCTGTCAGGCCATGTAACTAGCTCTGCTTTCTGTACACGAACAAACTGAATTCAAGGAGCCACTCAGTACACGGCAGCAGAATATTTAGATCTTTCTACCTGCCCTGTCATGTTTCGATTTCCTTCTCCACACATTTCTAATCTGAAGGACATGCTTATTTGCTATGTGATCTGTTAAAACACATAAGTCTCAGAGAAAAGTGCGATGAATCTGAAATCAAATCACACTTTATAAAATGAAACAAAGGTGGGAGGAATGAACAGATCAATATTTTGCCGACTGCCAAAACTGGTGGTACTTGTGTGTTTGTGCCACACTGCAGCAAAGTTTCTAATTTGCCTATGAAGATATTCAAAATTATAATGTCCAGACCATTCACTTATTTAACTCACCTCCACAAATTTTCACTCAGGTATATTTAGTTTAGGACAGACACTATCACCTTTACAATGCAGCATCCAGAATTGCACCCATTACTAAAATATCTGCAAACTGTATTGCAGTAACAATCAAACAAGGTAGTGGGAGAAAACAAGACAGTTAAACAGCTATTCTAGAATTGTTCTCCTTCCCAGTGCCACCAGCCTCTTACTGCTTGGAAGGAGATAATTCTTATAAAAATCTGAGCTAATAAGGTTATGCAAAATCGACTGGTATGGGAGAAAATGGCAAGGATGTTTCATCTGTGTTTATCACATACTTCAATATACTCCTAAAACAAATGGGCAGAGGTCATTCATTGTTCCTGACACAATGCAGCACATGATAGGTTCTTCAAAAATTCTGGAGGTTGCTTTTCAGGATTACCAGGGTATGGAATGACAATAGCAAATGATCTTTTCCTACATAAAAGCCGAAAACTCATGTAATCTGTGGCTGCAGGGTGGAAAGTACTACAATATCCTAAATGTTTGAATGACTACATACATGATCCTTAGGTAACTTGAAAAAAAAGCAGTTTTGGTTTTATCTAAATATGGCCTTTTTTTCTGCAGGTGTTTATCCTTTTGCGTTACAGGTTAGTGGGTGATGGAATCCACAGGGGACATTCATTACCAGTGGAAAAGGCCCCCAGATCCAGTCCAGATAAAACCATTACCAAAAATTTCACACCTGCTATCCTGTTTTGATTTTAAATTGGAAGGGCATCTTCATCTCTGGCTTCTGGGTAGTCACACTGACGTAATCACTCCAACAATGTGGAAGGATAACGGAGAAAACAAAGCAAGGGGCTCAGGTGAATTCAGCTCAGTGCCCCGGGCGGTCCCTGAAGCAATGGGTCGCCCCAGCCTCCTTTCAAAGGGAAATCGTTGTTACAGGGAAGCGGTTTGAAAAAGGAAGAAAAGTCTTGGAGATTTGTGAACAGAGAGAGGATGTCCCGAGGAAGCATAAAATAGAGATACAGAAACAGTCTCAAAGAAGAAAAGGGTCTCCTCTGATCGCATTAACGGTGCGGTTCCAAGTTAGAAGTGAGGAGGGGGTGCAAGCCCGGGAGACTCCATCCTGTCCAGACAGAATGTGTGTACATTTTCAACTTGAATGCTTAAAACATTTTTATCTTCCAGAATGTTCGATAAATCAATACATTTGCTTAAATGGTTAGAACAGAACCCATTCAACAAAGAAGTGTTTAGTAGTTTTAATCACATGATCCTTTGAGGTGTGTCTTTTGAATGGTAATTTTATAAAGATGGAGAAAATGAACACAAAATTCACGAATAATTTGTGCAGTGACTCCACATACCTTCTACTGATGATACAGCTTATTCAATTGCTAATTCTAGTGTCCCCCAAATATAATATGCAAGTAGCTTCATCAATTTTCCTGTTGCTTTCATTTGGTCATACCCTAAAGCATAAATCATTGGCCACCTTTGTGCATGCAGGTACATACACTGTACAGAATTGTTAAAGCAAGGAAAAATCTCATTTTATGTAACTGAGACACGCACATGAAAGGATTTGTCAGGACTGGAGATCATACATGAAACAACAAAACAGCAGCCAGTGAGGGTGATTTTGAAGTATGACAAATAAATTCCCAGGGCTTGAGACTTTGGAAGTATACTTGTGCTTTGCTGTGGTATATTACATAAATACATGAAAAATACTTAGGTTCTTATTGTAGAAGACTGGTAAGGGGATTCCAGTCAGGAAAAGTGATTCCCTTCAGTCATCTGCGGCGACTAGGACCACTGTCAAAAGATTCTGTGTTTGACTCACCTCGTGGCCACATGTAATGTGCATTACAATTGCTAAGGATTACAAAGTGTCATTACCTAGAACCGAGTTGTCTTTATCTAGTTAATGTGGCGGCATAATAAAGAAGCATAAATTGCAAATTTGGGTATGAATTTTTTCTTTCTCCAAAATTGCTAAACACATTTATTCAGGCAATTCCTTGAGATTTAATATCCAACATAGGAAATTCAATTGTATTTGAAAATAACTCCATTCGGATAATTCAGTGAAGCTTCTAAGATCTGCTAATAGTGGTTTGCATTTTACAAAGTCTTTCAGATATATTATTCTCACTTAATGATTATTGCAATTGCAAATGAACATTAAATGGGTTTACGTTTTTATATATAATGGGTGAACATTATAATTTCATGTGAGTAAATTAAATCTTCCAAAAGGCCAAGTGGCTAACCCCAGCTCACACAGGTAGCAGGACCTGGGACATGAACAGTGTCAAGCAATGGTTAAAAGCCTTACTTTGCAGTCAAATATAACATGGCTTCACTTTGACTATGGGTGACATGATTTGTGCCTCAGTTTCCCCTTGTGCAGAAAGGGGAAAACCCCAGTATACATCACAGAATTGCTGAAAGGACTAACGAGTAATACTTGAAAACACACCGGCCAACCAGGCACCTGGGCACCGAAATGGGAGCCAATGCTCTTCTGACCGTAAGGCTGGGGCCCTCGCGATGGCTGTATGGCCGAGGAATGCCCCAGTTGCAGGAGATGGGCACTTGCATCACAGCTGTGCGTGCTGAGTTCTGCCTGTCATCTCTCTCAAGGACCGGAAAGACTGATTGATATCTGAAGTACTACAAAAATGGTACACGCTTAAAGAAAGCAAGACTTTAAATTAAAAAAAAATTATAGGGAATATACTGGGATACAGTAGTTCAAGTTTATAATCATTTCTTAGCGTCATTAAAGTTGACTGGGGTGAAAGGAAAATTAACTGAATAAAAGGCAGAGATAAATTGTTCTTTACTACCTCTCCTCGTTATTCAAATCGTTAACTCAACAGTTATTAAAGGGCTCTGTGTGCAGAATATTCCACCCTGTTCGATCCAATGTTTTCTTAATTTCTTACTTATGACACACACACACACACACACACACACACACACACACACACACACACCATGTTTCTGGGCAAGAATGGTCAAGGATGAGCTCATTACAAGGTTGAACAGTGTTAAAACTCATCGTACTTTTCTCTTAAGTATGCAAATCTTTAGATTTTGACACACATATGCCACAAGAACAGATGAAACCCATCTACTGTTACCAGTTCTCCCACCCTATTAGGTATAAAATTTCTGCCAGTGATAAAATTGAAACCTGAAAATTTTCTGAAACGGCAATCCTCCTGAGTTGTAAAACAGAAGTTTGCTATGTAGTTTTTACAATGCTGTTTTCTGAATGTCTTAATGTACCAGTTTTTTCCGAATAATTTTTCTAGCTGAAAATCAATTGCTGAGAAATTGATAGGTAGCTACAACTCACAGCTTTCCAAAAATATTAGGACCTCAGCACAGAAGCTTGCCACAGAGTCCTTACAGAAGGAAGTCCTCGCTTCCAAGTTGATTCTAATCATTTACTCCAATCTTTAAAGACTTCTTCAGCTTTATCTAACTTACCAAAAATAGTCACTGAGAATGTAAAACTAAGGGTGGATGCAACTTCTTTGACCTACCTGGGGACTCAGGAGACCACACAGCACCGTTCTACTGAGGGGACTCCTAATGGCTTTCACATGCATGGCTAAAGTGCAGAAATGTATAATTTACTGGGATTGAAATAAATCACAGGGAGAGAAGTGCTTCAAAGTTATTGGTAGAAATTTCTCAAAAAATAAAAAATTGTAACTCTAAGAAATCATGTTCTATGTAGAAAGTTCTTTAATCTTCAACATAAAACATGTTGATGCTTTAAAAACAGCACACATTGCTTATTTATCATTTGATGACAGTGAAATATTTTTTTGACATAACCCAGTTTTTAGGAGGTAATGTCTTTTTAAAAACAGGTCCCATAATTAGCAGAATGTTGTCACTATATAACACCCTCAGTCTAACATGCTGCGTCTTTTGTGTCAGCAATGTCCCTGATACAGTTACCATCTTGGGAATACCCCTAGTGGCTACTAAATTTGTCAAGATAAAAAACTTTTTCTGTTGAATCTATTAGAACATGCCTAGTTTTCTCAGGGGTTGTCCAAGAACAAAAAGCCCCTCTTCTCCCAAGGGTGCTTCCAACTTTTTTTTTTCTTTGCATATGACAATTATTACTATACCATTAGTAGTCAATAAACATTTCAGTTTGCCAAAATAGGTAAAATTAGAAATCCACAAGGACTTAGTGTGACAATCTTAAAGGAATCTGAATATGGACAAAATCAAATAACTCTATAAACAACAGAACACTGACATGAACATCAGTTTTATTCACTGAGAATGTAATCTTAAAAAAAAAATCTATGGCATAAACGTAACTATAAACGAACAATGCTATTCTCAGCACTTTCTGCCTAGAAAATTCAGTATACTGCATGAAAACATTAAATTAAAGCATGTAAACTTATTTACGTACATGATTTTTTCAATGCAAAGGTTAAAGGCACCAGAGATATTGAAAAGCGCAAAGCAGCAAGGTAGAAATACTGCAAGATTATCATAATTCAGTTTGCCACAGGGAAAATATCTAAGATAAGTTGAAAATAAAATAAACATAGATTATGATATACCAAATTATCATGAAATTTATCAAACTGGCTGGCTGTACATTATGGAGGTCACAGAAAATGACTTTATAAAGTGTTGCCCCACAAATTAGCATACATAAATCCTGTTCTCTGTGGTTTCCAATATACTGTGTGAAAACAGTGTTGTATCCCCAAGGGAGCCTGGCTCCACTCCAAGGGGAATGAGACAGATGGAGCCGCACGGCAGTGAGCGATGCTGATACAGAAGCCCAGTGACATTCCAGACTTGCGACATTCCATTTTATTAGAAGCAGAGGTAAGAGCATGAGCTCTGGCATCACACCCATGTTCGAATCCCGGTCCCAACACTACAGGCTGGCTCTGTGGCCTCTGCCAAGTCAGTCTCTCCACGACTCGGTTTTCTGAATTAAACACAGATGCTAAGAGCACCTTCTTCAAAGGGCTGCTGCAAGCACAGAGTGCAGGCAAACTACTGAGCCATTACCTGGTACACAGTCTGCAACCAATACATGCGTTATTATTTTTTAAAAGTGAACAGTTTAAAATTACCAGTTTTAACACAAAATATTTACTTTGTACCATGGTATTATAGGGAAGTCAGGTTTTATTGCTTAAGAAATCCCAAGAGTGTACACAGACAAGAGGACAGAAATACTCAACTGTACAAACTACATATTTTCACGATTAGTGCTGATTTTGCTACTTCGCAGATGAACAGTTTTCTCCCGCGGACGTCTGAAGATACGGCAACTCTCATGGACATGTTCCCAACCTTTCATGTTTTAGAAACTGGAAAAACTCAGGCACGTAAAGATACAAAATATACACTTGTCGAAGATGAAGAGGCAAGGATAAGGTAATTATTTTTTATATAGAGGTTCGTCACTACCTATTTTCCTATAAACCTTCAAGGGAATATGTCTGAAAAGGGTGAGATTCAATGGCACAACGTTGGAATAGGTACAGTTTTCTCAGAGTTAGCAAACTGGGTTTGTTTTGAATGGTTGATAGCTAAGGTGAACCCTAAAAGCAAAATTAAATTCAAAGCCAAATCATCTTTTCTTGATTCAGACAGTAAGTAGTTATAGTTGTATAGACTTCATAGTCTTTTTTTTAAGTAAATAACTTCTTCAAAGTGACTTAAATTTCATAAGAACTAGCACCAGTATACCAGTATTTCATTCCCTTCCCAGGACAAATAATAATACAAAACTGCAGGCAAGTTTACAAAGTCACAATTGTCAATCTTAAAATTTAAAAACTATGGAGTACCCTTAAGTTCAAGGGCATCAAGTGATAAAAAAAGATGGTTTTTATGTTATTTTCACCTTTTAGACCAAAGGTTACTTTCAGACTCTACACTACTTTTCTAAACAAATCACAGAAGATAAAATTTCATCATTTTATACTCAAAATAGTATTGATGATGTCACAGGGAGTGAATGATTTAAAAATGCAATTTATTCTGCAACTCAGTGAGCTAGTGTTTTTCAAGCTGCAATTTTGAAAGCGAAATGGCTTCTGACAAGAATTTCTAGTAGAATAAAAAATACCAGGTGCATACTGGGTCGTCAAAGTAAGAACTCTTGGTAAGCCTCTGTTTGGGGTGTGTGACACTGCGCCGCGAATGCAAGATGTTTTCCACTGAAAGATCGTCATCACTCTAAGGCCCACTAAGTTTTGCCTTCTGGAGCCCTCTACAGGTTCTACATGTTAAAACCTTGAATCCTATAGTAAGAAACGTTTTCGTTGGAGGTTGGTTCAGAACCTAGGACTTCCTAGTTTATACAGAACAGAAGTTTACTTAAATAGACAATGTTTGTTCTAAGAATTCAAACTGAACATGTGTGTAGCCTCAATCCTGAAGCCAAATCATCTTCAAGAAGTCAAAATTAAGCTGGCGACGTGTATGTAAACCTTTATCTAATTTAAAATTGGGATAAATATATCAATACTCCCCAAGAGGAGCTGTCTGGGGGCAAAGTGATGGAATCACAAGGACTTCAGAAAACTGCTAACAAACATTCATTTTTATGAGGTCTTTACAAAGCACTGCTGAGAACTTCAACAGAAACGTGGCTAGGCAACGAAAAGGCTTGTTTCTACACCCAGCCCCTGACGAAGAATTGAGTAAAAAACAACTTTGAACAATCAAGTATTAAACCATAACCCCAACTGTCTTACTTTAAGAACTAAAGGATCACTATCTCTATCAAAGTAGCAGAAGTCCATGAAGTTGTTATAAAACTGAAGTGATGTAGGAAAAGAGGCTTATTTTAATAGAAAACAAGCTAAATAGGCCATTAGCATTAGCCTAGGGCCACCTTCCTTTCTCTTCCACAGAAGATAATAGAACATAAAGACAAATAAATAGTAACAGCAATGTTTATTATGCTCATCACCACCACCACCACCAAAAAGAAGTTTGCAGAAGCCTAAGAAGAGCAGACTCCAATGCAAGTATCTAACAATGCTAAAACACTATCTGACCTCAGTTTCCACCTGTACTGTCACCTGTCTCAGAACTGCGGGGATGGTTCAGTTAACCTAAGGTTGATCGCAGAATCAGATAGGAGGCTAAATGGTAGGTGATCCTGTAGAAACACCACTTGGCAGTAAACCAAAGTATCATAAACTAAGGTGATTTATAACACATGCAAAAGCAGCATATAGCTTTTTTTTTTTTGGAGGAGTCAGTGTTGGTTGGCCCTTCAAACAGATCTTTGGGATAACAAATGATACAAAATGGACAGGTCCGCCCTGCAACATGCCAGTCCACTTGTTTACAGCAACCCTGACTCATCTAAGACAACCCCACATGCTGATACACACACTCCTATTTTGTGTCTACTGTAACATAATTGGACCCACAGTACCCTAGGGCTCATGATACCAAATTTATCCTTAGCTTTAGAGTGATTTACATCAAAATCAGTAAAAAATCACATAAAACCAATAATTTGTTAACGAGAGCTCTATCTTAGTAAAATATGACTTGATATTATTAAACAGACGTTTCAGTATTACGCTCGCTCCCCAAGAAGTAAGAATCCCCAGAATTAATATTTATTATAAACATACATAGGATAATTTATCATCTATTCAAAACAAATGGTCACAGAGAGCTTATTTGCCATTTACCTAATTCAGAAAATAAAGATAAAATTTGGAAAGAATGAAAATGAAATTTAAGCCCATTCTTTAGTATTTTCCTGTAGAAGCTGAGATTTAAAGACTGACTCCTCTCAGACAATGCAGAATCAATTGAAGGGGAATTTTATACGAAAAGCAATTTTTAAAATGAGAAAATAAGAGCCCAAGTGATAAACTTCCCTCTCTCACCAACACCCATCCTTAGTGTGTAAGGTCACTTCCTTTTCCTGGTATCCCTTCTAAATGTTTATCACATTAGAACTGACCTATTTTTAAGTCATCTCTTCAAGGTGTTCTTGCCCTTCTCCCTATTCTGCTTAAGGAAAATACCCTTCCTAATGTTGGCAGACATGTTGAATAATCTCAAGAAAACACTAAAATAATTGCTTTCATAAAATTGTTTGTGCTTTATCGTTGGGAATCCCAAGACCCACCCAGGAACCAGTATGGCTATCAGTTACTTACGAGAAACACATTAATACCTTCTCATTCTCAAGACAACCCTGTTGAGAGAGCTACTTTACTGACTATTTAATAGCCAGTGCCCTCAGCAACCAAATTCATATTCACTGGCATTCTCTCATGTACGGAGACCCAACATGTAACACACATGCAATGTGCGCCTCTCATTCATTCTCACACAGGCAAGCATACACACATTTTCTTTCTTTCCAGAACAAGTCAGAATTACAGCTCTTTTGGTGATTGTTATAATTTTTGGAATGGTTCATAGGTTTTCCAAATTACTTAAATTTGTAATACTTTTATCTTTTTTTTCCAATTGTGAACCATTCCATATTGCATCTTTATTGCAAAAGTCAACATGCTTCTTAGAAATTCAGATTGTAATTGATAAAACAAACATTACATATATGAATTCAAATGTATAAACAGTTAGAAATGCAACAATATCTCCTATCATACTATCACACAAGTTCACAATCTTTGTAAAAACTGCGATGCGGGCGCACTATACATCAGGAGGGGGCACTGTTCCTTTTCACAGGATTTTTCCCTCTCTTTGAAATGATGACCCATCACCAGTGGGCCTTTTTCCCTCTACAAGACTGTCCTCCAATTTGTCATGCTGGCTAGTGACAATGTCGTCCCAGTGTCACGACATGAAGAAACTGAGGGAACCTGCACTCCCCGAGGTCACCTTGTCATTCGTGGGCAGCGATCCCATCATCCAGTGAACCAGGTCACCTGGCCGGATCGGAAGCTGTTATTGCTCATCAGTTACTTACAAAGATGTTGTACACATTTTAAAAAGTACAGAATTTACCTCAGATTGTATATGTTACTTCTGCAAATAAAAATGCCAAGAAATTAAGTCATGGTAGTTATTCACATTAAAGAGAAATTCTGACACTTGGGGATTTGAGGGTGGGATAAAAAAATCCTGTAAGAAAAAAAAAAATATATATATATATATATGTATATATATAAAACTATTTAATGCTAACCTTAATTTAAGTTTTCTAATATTTAACCCAAATTTTGAATTCATTTTTGAGAGTCAAACATGTTTTAGAAGTCTTTGAAAGGGCATTCTGAAAGTATTTTAGTCCTGTATTTGAAGTGTACTAGAAGCTAAGTTTTACACAAAGGCCCTCGAATCTTGTTTCTATCTGCCCTTCACTTCAACACCCTTCTCCTTCATTCCTCTCCCCCAGTAACTAAAGAGTCAGATTCGCAACTCTCTCTATACTGAGTGGAATAAGATGTTAATTTGGAGGTTAAAAAAATCATGTGAAAAGGAATCTCATTCTGCTGAACTGTCAGTCTACTGAAAATTTTCTTACAGCTCTATTAATTTACTGCAATTTTCAGTTTCCAAATACAAAAATACAACAATTCTTATTGAAATCTATACGCTGGTAGTTTTAGTACACAAAAAAACCAAACAAATTATTTACAAAATTATACAGATTAAGAAAAACCTTTGTACAAAAAATATATAAATCCTTTGTTCCCTCTATCACGTTTAAACTGTCAGGACTCAAAATATTCACCACAATGAATCTTTCAAAATATATACCAACTGAGCCGCAGACACCAGGAAAATTGCATTAGAGATGATGGTGGAGGAAGGAGCAAGATTATTTATTCTGGTCACCCCACTGCAACGTTTTCCTTCTTTTATAAGCTTATTTTAGCTTCAGTGTTATCAGAAATACAATAATAACCTAAAAGGAGGAAGTCCTTATTATCACGAAGGGAAAATTATATGCACTTAAAAATGACTCCAGTTTGACAAATCATTCCAGGAAAATAAGTAGAAAAGATAATCAGATCGTGGGATCTAACGTCTTGCAACTAAGTTAATCTAGTGTCCTGGTAGGTTTCTTAGTGAATAGTTTCTATTTTGAGAAATAGGCGTCACCTCAGGAAACAAAATCCTTGATACAGAGATCACCAAGAACTTTCTGAAGCCAATGAAAGCTTCAAATTTTCACACCACACATACATAAAAACATAGATGTGTATAGCTTTGAAAAAGTGACATCCTATGTACATTAATCATTTTATTTCCCAGGGGTCAATACAGTGTAGTGTTGCTCCTCTGCTTTTCCATCTGACATTCAGAACACAAGGACATAAATTTACATATATATTTTACTTAACAGACATTCTAGTCTATACAGTGTACAGTAAAAATGCACACAGTGAAGGAAAAAACTACCTACTGAAGGATGCATATGCTCATGGATAGCAACAAGCTACAAAATTATGAAAATATAAGGTCATCTGATCAAAGTCAAGTTATGACTCCCATTTATTATTAACATACCCATCCCCTTACCCCACCCCCACCCCACTCCTAGTCACCTCACCATCATAGTTTAAATTTAGGAAAAGAACTTCAGACACTTTTTTAACACTTTTCTGTAACTATTAACTAAACTGAAGCTTTAAAATAGAAAGGAAAAAAAAGCTGGTGACTCTCTTCCCCACCCCCACCCCCCAACAAATCCTTCCATTATTCTAATCAAAACATCACTTATTTATCAAGGTGCTGGTTCAAACTTTTTACTGGGGACTGACTTTCGGAGGGCCCAAAAGAATCACTTATCTCAATAATGGGTAAGTCAGGCCTGTTAATAAAAAGGTAGGAGAAAGAAAATGGGGACAAAACAAGGGCAATAGGTGAAAGCCTATTCTGAGAATATTAAAAAAAGGACCAACTGAACCAATGCTCATTAATTTCAAAGTGAATTAAGGACTGGTAGCAGGAGAAGTCCAGGAGAATTAATATGATGGACTGGAAACACCATGGAGCTAGCTTCCATTACAGCATTTAAGAACAGTTTGTTACGATAGACACTGAAATAGTACTTTCTACTCACATGAAACAACCTTCTTCCACCCCCCGCAAAAAATTAGGTCTAATACAAACTAGACTCCTCCACAGTAAAAAAATGAAAATAAATTTACTTTTCTTCCAAGACATCTCTTGAAAGCAAAAGGGTATTTTAATTACAAATATCTCCTACTGTCTGACGACCCATCCATAATAGTGGAGAGTTGAGAGATTCCAGGCAATTTTGACATTTAATGAAATTTTATCAGATTATAATCCAAAATAAAATTTCTGAACACCCTGTCATTTACATCATAATCCAACACCAACAGCAACAAAAACAGGTGGTGTGGAAAATAAGGCTCTAGAGATTATCCATGTCATTCCTGTGGATCTTCACAAGTGTGCTGAAGTCACTAGGCCTTTGGTGCTTTAATATCATGAGCAGTTATATGAGATGTGTTTAAATAGCAAACTTGCTGTCCTTAAACCTACTGTGTCGAAAAGAAAAATAAAAAAATTTTTTTGGCTCATTGACTTCTTTAAATAATTTTAAAAAGTTGTTCTAAACAATATTCCTAAAAATCATACAGCTCCTATCAGGTTTCACCTTCGCCATGAACGAGACTCATATTCATCTTCGTCCTCGTCATCGTCATCATGCAAAAACAAACCTGAGGCTTCTGTTTCCTGAAGAAAGACAAGGCAAGACCTGCTTAGTAGTTCAAGAGAGTTAGGCGGGATATTTTATAGGCCGAAGAACAAACAAACAAGTACACAAAGCCCAGGCTGGATTTACATGTGATGCACTCAGAGTATCTTTCAAGGCAAAATATAACAACGAAAACAAAAAAATGTTCTTGGATGTATAATTTTCTTTTCCCCTGCTAATTCTGCTAATTTTAATAGATTTCCATTTTCATATCATGAAAATAAATAGTATGTGAACATTTAGTAAGGGAAACGAAAGAAAAAAATATCTGTGAAATGTTTTTGATAATTAATTACCTTAATTTTATTCCACTAACTTAAAAATGAGGAAAATACATAACCATTAAACTTCTTAAACCTTTTATTTTATATCCAATTATTTGTGATGGGAAAATATACTAACTTCCCTTTGACACTGACATTCCAAATTTCATATAAAAATCTAAAATCTTACACAAAGCAGAAGTATCTATACACATTCCCAAAATACCAAGATTATTTTTTCTTTTTTAACATGGGAAATGATTCTGAATTTGTTATGTGAAAGTACCCAGACAGCCAGAAGACTTTTAATCAACCAAAAATACTAGACATCTTTTTAAACCAAAATTACAATTCATCAGGAGTAACTTGTAATGCTGGGTAAGCGTCCATTTTAATAAACTAACTAGAAATATAGGAGTAAAAAACAAAATTAATTCTCATATACTTTAAGAGGCTGATTATTTAGTACTTGTATCATTTAAGTCCTTGGTTGTCCTATTCTTCCCTCTCACCTCAGACTTCTTTACACTCTCATTTTAGCCAACTGTAACATAGAAAGAAAACAAGAAACTCAAATCTATTACTTACGGAACTTGAATAAATGAACAGCTAAAAACACCAGCTAAAATTTAATTTGCTCATGTAACCATGTCCTCTCATAACCAGAATAAAAATTCTTAGAGCCCAAATAAATGCAGACAAAGAACAGCCTCTCCTCTACCAGAGAATATCCCCCAAGAGCCTTTAAAATGTCTACATCTGCTCTGATTCTTCAATGAACTACTCGACTTAACGAACTGCATGCATAAAAGAACTCAGTATTTACTTTTTAATATCTACTTATTTTAATGCTACTTACTTTAATGTCAATAAAAAAAATATAGCTAGGAAACAATCCATTCAACTCTTATTTTCAACTGTTAAATTTACCTCCTCCTTGACTTCTTCCTCTTCGGTCTCAGTGGATACAGAAGGCACCTTGGTCTTGTGCCACGATATTTGTAGCCGACGGTCTTTGAATTTTGACCCTTGGTTTGCAGTCTAAAATAAATTTGAGAACACAAGAATTTGTACTCACATTTACTAGTGACTTCTTCAAATTGTGTCTATTTAAAAAAAAAAAAAGTCCTGTTAAATCTATTAAAGTAGATCTACAATCTCCAATGAAAACATGAAAAAATGAACCCTTTCTAATTAGAGGAACATATGTACTGGTTTGCCGAGCATAGCCCATGATTTATTATCAACAAATGTAAATTTAAGGATTTGTCTTGGTTTGGATGATATACTGTACAGTCACTCTACTTAGTGAAGTCATGATGAGGACAAAAAAATATTGTCAATACAATTATTGGCCTTTGGCTTTGATAATCTACATATCTGGACTGAATTTAAGTACTTTTTAAAAAATTGCCTACTCATCTCATGAGATCTTGTACAGCCCCACATATATCTGACAAAGTTATTCCCACCTACTCTTCTGAAATACTATACAACTAAGACAAGTACCCCACTAGACATTCTATGTATTCAACAGATGTTAATTACACATCTACTATCCTAACTCAAGGTAGAACTGTTCAGTTTCAAATATGTTTCTTGGTATTACAGTCTGAACAATTTTTTCCTCCCCAGCCAATTTCATTAAGAGAAAGCAGAAGTTTAATTGTAAAGATAAAGCTACATAGACAAAAGAATGGAGGACCCAAAGTTTCACGAAAGTAAGAGTTTAGTCATTCCCATAGCTTTGCCATGAATGGTGGTGGATTGCAAAATATCCCCAATTCTGGGTTCAGTCCTAAAAAATATAATAAAAGGGGTTTCAGTCTAGTGTTTCTAGGAAAAATGCTGATAAATGTCTTGAACCGTTTTCCAACTGTTTTCAAAGAACACTTAGATCACTGCATAGTAAGAGTGTACATTAGGCCAGACCCATAACCAGTTATTTACTGTCAGCATAGATACTGGCCTGTGATCTAAGGAGAAATTCCCATTATCCCTTGTGGGAGTTGAATGTTAATAACCTGACACCAAATATTTCGACTTGTGGGACACACTAAATCAATATATCAAAATGGCCCTATTCAAATGTATATTTATCTTCTTTTGAAAATCAGGTAGTTGCTAAGAGAGTAGATCTTAAGTCTTCATCACTAGGAAAAAGAAATAGTAACTATGTGAGGTGATGATGTAACTAAACTTATTTTAGTAATCATCTCACACTATATGGGTATATCAAGTAATTATATGGTACATATTAAACTGATAACAATGTGATATGTCAATTATATCTCAATGAGCCTGGAGAAAAAGACCTGGTAATACATGTAGTAAACATCCTTTGCCCTTTACTCTATCCTTTAACACACAGTCCAATTATAGGGGGACTTTTTCACTATTTTGTTCATTTCTATATAATTTGAATTCTTCTTCCCAGCTTTTTTGGGTATAACTGACAAATAAAATTTTAAGGTATTTCAAGTGATGATGTGATATACATATACATTGTGAATGGATTCCCCCAGTTAATTAACATATCTATCACATCACATATTTACCTTTTTTCTTTTTTTGGTGAGAATATTTAAGTTCTACTCTCCAAGCCAATTTCAATTATACAATACAGTGTCATCAACTATAGCCACCAGGTTAAATTAAGCATTAGATCCTTAGACCTTATTTGTTATTTGAATTTTTAAATACATACATTTTACTTCTACAATCAGAAAAAAAATTTTTAACTTCTATTAAGTTAGGTACCCTCCAAAGAGAGTAACAGTTCTATCTCCAAAGGAATTTTAAGGCATTAAATGTGTTACATATATATTATTAAAGGAAGAATCAGAAATTTAATTTGTATATAGTCAAGAACTAAGAATATACAACTTGACCTTAAAATAATTATGACTGTTAATTAGAATAAAGATGTATTTTAATAATACCAAGTCAGGAACTCACACACTACTGGTGGGAATCTAAACTAATGAAACTGATGCAGTTCACTCAACAATTCCACATATATACAACAGAAATGTGTACTTATGTATACTAAAACGTATTTTGTAAGAATGTCCACAGCAACACTGTTCATAAAAATAAAGTAGAAATGACCCAAATACCAATCAATAGGAGAATGGAAAAATAGTGTATATTTATTTGCCTGAAAATTATACAGCAAAAAAAATGGCAACCACTGTTACAGGTAACATGAATGAATCTCATAAACATAATGTTAAGGAAAAAAAAGACAAAAGGATACATACTTTGTGGTTTCATTCATATAACTTTTTAAAAATAAGCAGAGTAACACTATAGTATTTAGGAATGCACATTTTGATGATAAAACTACAGTTCATTCTCATTATCTGCAGTAGTTATAAAGTTCACTGCAAGCACTGAATTAGAAAACACTGAGCCATTACTCCTACGGGAAACAGAGGGTTAGGTTCCTAAGAGCCTCTAGTCAAAACCTTTTTGTTAACTTATCGATACATAACATTGTTTTATGTTTAAAGACACCTTACATTGAATCAGGGCCAAAAGCAAGACAACTCATGACTGAAAACAGACTATGAAAAGGACACTTATTTACAGTTTGAGAGCCAAAACAAGAGGGCAGAGTGTTGTCACTTAATTTGACCTCAAGTGGAAACATGCATTGATCAACTAAAATTTTTCAAAGCTCTGCATACCTGAGAATGACCACAAAAGCAAATCAAGTACTGATTTTTGAGGTTACAAATAGATTTTAGGTAAATTTGCAAATATGGAATCCATGAATAATAAGGACAGACTGTATAAAGCAAGCAAGGAGGTGATAATCCTAAAGTGAGGATAATGATTACTTTTCTGAGGAGGAGGTAAGATGGTGACTAAAAAGGGGTAGGAGGGGGCTTCTGAGGTGCTCGGGAATGTTGTTTCTTGACCTAAGGGATAGGTATATGGGAGTTTTTTCCTGGTAAATCAGTGAACTGTATGTTTCTAATTGGTATAGTTTCATTCAACATTTTAAATTGAATAATTACCTTTATAATTTTAAGAATACACCAAAAGCTAAGATATTTATGTGAAAAAAGCCAGGTCTGAAATGCAGCCCTGTATTTGTAATATGATCCCATTTTGGTAAACTTCTTTAAAGTGAGAGACCTTATGTGTATGTATTCTTATGTTTACAGTTTTTTTCTACAAAGATATCCAAGAATAGTAACTACCATTTAAGGGGAGACAGAGTTAAGAAAATAGATTTTTACTTTGAATTAGCCATGCTTCTGACCATTTACACTTATTTTTTTATTAAAAATATTAAAAAATTTTTGACTGCCTCTTAAAATGTCACATACTTACTAAAATATTTCATTTTTCTATACCCACCTATGCATTCTTACACACACATATGTAATATGGCTCAAAATAAAAAAATATTAGGGAAAAGTTACATGTCCATCAATACAGGACTATTTAAATCTAGCATGGTGTATTTATGCATCTATGCAATGAAATACTATGCAGCCATTAAAAAAGAATAAAGCAACATCATCTACACTAGTACAGAATAATCCCTAATGAGCCATCTAGTACATATTAAATGAAAAGTATATATGCAAAAGGGTTGTGTAATGTGTCATGGTCTGTATAAAAGAGAGATCAAATAATATACATACAGAGACTATTTTTGAGAAGCTATGTGAGAAACAGATAATGGTGACTGCCAAGAGGAGTGAAATTGAGTGGGGGTAGAAGGAAATCTTACTTTTCAGTATACACTTTTATTTCTTTTACATTTTGTATGTATGTGATACCCTCCAAAAGACTTCAAACAAAATATTAATACATATGAATATGTATGTGAATATAAGCAAATAAATCATATACCATCAATGAAAAATATAGGCAGTAACTTAAGAGATATTCAGAATCTGAGAGGTAGAAGTTCCTCAAAAAGAAATTCACTTAGATAACCATTTTCCCAGACCAGAAACTGATGCCAAATCTGTGCCACCTATTGTTCATCAATCACCTAACTAGCAAACAAAACTGAAACTAAAACAAGAGTACTGTGAGGATATCAGCAAATAGGCACTCACATCCACTACATACTAATATGTATATTACAGGGGTATGTATGTGTTTGTGTGTGTATACAGATGCATATATGCATCTATAATATATATTAGTACAACACTGCCTGAGGGTCATTTGGCAAGCTGGACCAAAATTCTAAGTATGTGTGCCTTTGATCCAGTCATCTCACTTCTACAAACTAACCTAGAACAGTGGTTTCAACTGGAGACAGTAACATTACTCTAGCGGGTATTCTGGTTGCCACACTGAACAAGTAGCTCTTACCGGCTAGATGGGAGCCAGTGTCACTAAAGATCCTGCCATGTGCAGGAGTGTCCCACATAAAGGATGATTCCATTAAAAAATGCCAACCCTAAGAGGTATATAACATAGTTCATAATAATGAAAAAATTGGAAACACCCTATCAGCCATTAACAAACAGGCAATAAACATCAATTGTTCACAAAAATCTACCATTACTGAAAGTTTTTTCAAGACCTGATGAAGGGTAATCAATGAAGCACTATGATAAAAGTTTCTATGAATGTTAAATCCAGAGAAAAGGTAATATGTAAATCCAGAGAAAAGGTAATTTTTGTGCTGGTAAACACAAAGGAAATTTACTTATCTAACTATAAGGTATCACTTTCATATATAATAAGTCTCTCAAATATATTTTCAGACACCTGGAAGATAGACAACCTGTACAGAAATGTTGTGGTGGAAAAGTTAACTAGGTGAGAAGTCTTTAATAATTATAGCAGAAGTACTCAGTTTCCTTATATGAAGTTCCAGGAATGACAAGCGTGAGTGAACTAGAGGTTCTTGCCAGTAAGAACATAAAAATTAAAATGAATTACATAAATTTTTGGGGGGTACAGAAACTCAATCTTCTAAACTTCTTACTTTCCTAAAACTCAAAAGGCTCTCTGACTACAAATGGAAGACTGACTATCCATAGTACATAATGATAGTAAAGTGCTTCATTCCTTAAGGGCAAAAATCCATTAGAAAAAGGAAAGCCAGAAAACCTTAGGAGCTAGGAAGCAGAAGTACTAGTGAGAAATCAATATGTAATGCTTACAATTTAAAAACCAAGATGTAACAGCAAAATCTAAATATCTAGAAATGAAAAATACCTAAAGAATCAGCTACAAGAGTTACAGGTGGGGATCTCTAAAGAAGAGAAAATGGCGGAATGCAGGAGACAGTTTAACAACCTTGTTGCTAAGTTCATCTGACTCTCTGAATGATGTGCATGTGTAACTTTTAAGGAAACAAAAATCAAAAATTTGCATCAAAAGAATCCAAGGTACTTAAAGCTGCTGTTTTCCTCTTTGTATAATGGCATACTTTCAAAGTTTTCTTCAAAGAACTTTATGGAGGACACTGTTAGCTGTCTAACCAACAGCTACTTAACCTCTTTCCTTTCCAACAGAGCCTGATTTCCATCACGTGGTGAACCATGACTGGTTTGACTCAATGACGGTAATTCCATTCCCCTCAACAGAGAGTAGACACATAAGAACACATTTGCTGAGCGGGATTGCGGGTGAGGGGGTGGTTTGGGATGGGACAGAGGGGAGGAATACTTTCTGGTAAAGAAAACAAATGTTCACATTTTCCAGGTTATCTATTTGTTACTTGCAGCCAAATGCATCCTGAGAAGCATGTATTGTATTATTACCTTCATAATAAGGAAAGGGGGGAAAAAATCACATTCCACCCTATATCACAGAGTATGACAGCTAAACCACATTACCACAGTTCAAAGATCTTACAGTTAATTGATGCACACTACTTGAAATATGCTAAAACATGGTTCAAGTATTCCAGATATCTAGATTAAATAACTTCTGTTGAAACTAGCCAGACTTCTCCTTAACCATGGGTAAAGGAATGTGCCTTGGCTCTTGCCTTTAAGCAAAGCTCTATGATGACTTAAAATTCTCAGCTACTGACCTAAACTTCAATTATTAAAACACTTAAAGGGAATTCTTCATGAAGGTCTTTCATATCCTCAGATCTCAGTCAAATGAAAGCTACACAAATAAGAATTCTTTTTTTTTTTTTAAAAAGTTCTTTTTGGAGTCACTGATTTTTATCTCTGAAATACGTAAAATTATATTTATGTATAATTTCATATTTGTGAGCTTAAATGTTTCATATATAAAGTCATACAATAACATATACCAGGGTCTGCAAACTACATAGCCCTCAGGCCAAATGTGGCCTAGCACCTTGTATTTGATGGTCTATGAGCCAAGAATGGTTTTATGTTTTTGAAAGGTTATTAAAAGTAAAGAAGGAAGAGTGAGAGACGGGCAGGTGAAGGGACAGAAGGAGGAGAAGGGGGAGGAGGAGGAGAAAAAGTGACAATAGACCACAAAACCCCAAAATATTTACTATCTGGTCCTTTAAAGAAAAACTCCACTGACCTCTGATACACATATACTATTAAAATATTTATATACCATAATATATGTTTTATTGTATTGTCCAATTGTATACTGTATATTGTATATTTGTATGTACTTTAATTCACACATTTTTTTATATATGTACCTGGGACCTAAAAGTCCAAAATTAACATATAATTCTCAAATTTGGTTTTAAAATACACAGTATTAAATGCTGATGCTTCATTCATCCTAAGTGAATGTGAGATTAAAAAGTCTGATTTAAAAACTAATACATGTCCATTTTGACAGCATGGAAAATAGAGAAATGCCTAGAAGGTAACAACAACAAAAAGAAAAACTAACTTGAATTCTGCCACCCAGAATTAAAAAAGTTAATGCATTTTCATTCCAAGTTTACATATAATCTTGTTTCCCACCTAAAAGTCAGTCCTGAGAATTTTCATGCCATTATTCTTTAAGACATGTTTTTAATAGCAGCAAAGTACGTTGAATGTTTAATTTGTTCCCATTTTCACTATTATAAAGAGTGCTACACTCAGCATACTCAGAGCTTTCATCTGCACACATCCATAAGAATTCCCTTTTGATAGATTCTTAGGAGTGGATTGCTGAATATAAGAATAAAGTGAAGTACTCCAGAATTAAGTCCTTGTATTTCAGAACAGCTTCACTAAAATGCATCTATCATCTTTTAAAATAGATACGGATCATCAATGATCCTTTCACAATCATTAAAGACCAAAAATTTATCGAAGGTATGCATTTTTACCTTAGCCTTTATGGGATATAAAAGAACTCTTGAAAAAGAGTTACTCCTCTTTTAAGTTTGCCAAGTCTATTGACAATAATGTCTAGGCTTTGTTTTCTTTTAGAGAACGCGTACTACACTACCTATCATTAGTGTTAAGTGCGCTTCTGGTACTTAATACTGTCTGATAGCGCCCTATCAAAACAACAAACAAAACACCATCAAAACCATCAACAGTGTCTCATTCTTGAAGTTACACCATCTGTTTTGGCTTTTGTTTCTCATTCCCCAAAAGCCTGGACATGCCCCTTTCTGTGAACCAAATGCTCTATTTCAGACTTATCAAATGTATGTACATAAATCTGTACTATTTTTAGATATTATTAAGATTCTCTAGAGTGATTCTACTTATGAGAAGGAAAGAGATCCACTTGAGCATGACTTTCAGTTTTAAAACTTAAACATCTACATATAGTCTCCAGTTACCCTCAGGATAAAGCATGCAGTTTCCTACCTAACAGAATTACCTACTTTCTGTAGCATCAAATTTATAAAATTCTGCTTTACATAATCCAGTATCGCCTTACAAAGGTGGCCCTGAGTCTGAATGCTCAACTTATATGGAAAGGAGATTATTAATTTTATATAATCAACATTAAAAGACAAAAATTAACCCCCAGCCTGCACAAGAATACCCTGCACGTGGGGAGTGCTCCTTCAGAGGCTGTCTGCTTCACCCCTCAGAGGTCACCGAAAGCCAGACCCCCACTTCACAAAAACAGAAAGTAAGGGTCGGACTTAGGAAAGGAATGGTTCAAGAGTGAACAGGCTGCAGCCCAGACAGCCCTCAAATCTGGACACTTTACAACAGCCCCCCATTCTCCAACAGTCAGGGTAAAAAAGGATTAACGGCCATCAAACTAGTAAGGAACTGTAGAGTGTAGTCTTGCTCTTTAAGATTCCCTTCATCATTTTTAACACTTAATAGGGCTAAAAATGTTCCCTCTCAAAAAAGTTGTTTGAGGAATAGATATTAACAGCCGAATGTGTATTTTTATCTTGGTTCTGCCACTTATTAACGGTATAATCTTAACTGACTTCCTCTTAAGCTTTAGTTTCCCCATCTGTACATATGGGATTCCGTATGTACTTTATACAGTTACTTAGGATTAAATGAGATCTTGCATGAAAATGCTTTTAGTTGGAAAGAGGAGTCTATTTATGCTCAAAATAGTAGACATCTACCTATAGTAAATCTGCATGTTTGTCTAAAAGTAAGTGGTCATCACTATATACACAATGTAACTAAACATGTGTCTTACCCTAATAAATTCTTCCTTTGAATTCTGCCTCTGCATGTAACAACTCTAAAACAAAAATGAAATACAGCTTTGGAGAAACATCACTACATATGCATTCATGGGAGTATTATGGAATGACAGGGCATGAGCTGCTTCCCCACCTCAAACCTATTAACAAGAATTTGCCAATATCCACTTTTTTACAACTTAATTTTCTAATCTGTAAAACATTTGACATTTATTTATACATAACACAGCAAGAAAATGCTGAACACAGTGTTTTGAAGAGTTAGCATTTGCTACTTTAACAACTTACTGTGAAATGCTGAAGTAATTCATCTTTTTCCTCCTCAGTGAATCCCCCAACTGTTAGTGCTTTGGGGCGGTGGTCCACGACCATATGATTCAGTGAGCCCCTTCCTCTTCCTCCACGGCCTCGGCCTCTTCCTCTACCTTGAGAGGACATGGTCTTTCCTCGACCTACAGGTAAAATACCTAACCGAGCAGCCTGAATTAAGACAGAATATAATTTATATTGTTAGACTAAGCCTTGGAAAATACAGGAAGAGAAAACTATTTTTTGAGCCAACTACTTAAATATAGTGGTTACTCGTAAATCTCACCTCAACCTGTAACTGACTGAGTTTTTTCCGTAGCTCTGTTGTGTCTTCTCCTGAGGATAGCCTCTTGTGAAGGTCCAGTTCAGTATCTAATAGTTCTTTCTGAGCCTTTGAAAATAAGAGTAAAAATGTATTTCTCAGATAATTTCCAAGATCTTCAGAATAGTATACTTACAGAATGACATACATCTCTTTTAGGAAAACAAGAGTGACAGGATGTAATTAACGTGGGTGCTTTAGGGAATGTAACTTTATAGATAAAATATGGAAAACATAAGAAAGTATAATGACATCAGTAAAAATAATCAGCAATACTGCTGCTTAAGATGGCCAAAATATCAGACCTTGCCAACAATCACCTGAGATGAGGGAGATGAGAATAATTTTCATATAATAAAGCATCATAAATGAAATACAATGGGGCAAAATTAATTATGTAGTGAAATTTCATTAATAGTACAGACATAACAGTTACATAACTGTTTTCCTATTTGAACCCCGTAACTACTGCTATTCTTTTTTTTGGTTGGAGACAATATCAGTCTTCAGGTAGAAAATGTATACATGTTCTTTCTATAATTAGAAAAAATTTCAACAAAGTTTCAATTATATTTTTAAAAGCCATCTTAACAAAACATTTTACATTCTTATAGTAATAGAAAACCACAATTTTAAATGTAATATAATAGTTTTACATAAAAATTTGCATTTCTGTATGTGACAGATTTATTCCCAGTTCTCCTAAGGCCTAGAAATTAATCTAAAATCCCACTACACGTCTGTGGTATAATGGAACCAGTGTGTAAAGCAAGTATTCGCTGATGGCAAATGGGAAAAAACAAAATCAGATTTAAATGGATCTAGAACTTCTGATTACTCTTTTCAAGAGAAAGTCATATTTTTATCTACACCAAAGCTAATGATACTTTTTGAATATTAAAAGGGATGGTTTTATTACATCATTATAGAATTAGAAAAACAACTACTGAAATATAAAATATCTCTTTCCTTGCCATCATTCTAGCAGTTTCATCTTTAGCACAGAGAACCAAAAAATTCAATTAGAAAACACATCTTTGCTCAATAAGGTTATTATCACCTCTCTGTGCTCTATATACACCTCTATGTATCTACTTACACCTTTATGTATTCTTCAGAGTACATAGCATCTTTATAAACATTAAAAAAATTGTTGCTATAACTGTCTCCCCATTAGACTTACACCCTGAGTTCCACTCTACTTTCAAAGAGCCAAGCACATAGCAGATATTCAGTAACAAACACTATGTTTAATGACAAATGTAGATACCTCTGTTTTTGTCTTTACTTTAGAGGGTGTGGAGACTGCAGAAGATGTTTTTAATTCATCTTTCAACTGTGAGATCTTTTCTCCCAACTCTTTCAAAGTCTTCATTATATTTGCTCTCTCTTCTGGTTTCATATTTTTGTTTTTTTCTAACTTAGATATTAACATCTATAAAATAAATATAAAGAAGTAAAACAGTGCTCAGTAAATTTTAATAGACATAACCCTTAAAAACTTTACTGTTTGGGATATCTTTATACAAATCCATTCCATACATCAATTCCAACAGGCAAATAATGAGCTCTTATTTTACCTTTTGGCATTCTATCTGTTTTTCTAATACTTCTTGCCTCTTTTTCCTCATATCTTGTTGTAGCTTCATTGCTTCCTATATTAACGGGTGAAGAAAAAAATCAGTAACGGCTAACAAAACTTGCCAGTGATACACAAAGACTACTGGATTTTCAGCTCATTTCTCCTGCATCACCCCTATATAAGAGATTTTCCTCTTAATCAAAAAATAGTTGAAACCAGAGATGAAACCTTTAAATATATTTTTCCCAGCACTTATGGTATCAAATAGTTTACATTTATAACTGTACTTTGAAAAATATTTAAAATACTCAACCCTAATAAGCAGTATCTATGAGGTTTACTTACTTAAATGAACTTTTTTTTAAAATTTTTTATTAAGGTACTATATACACTCTTAGGAAGGTTTCACATGAAAAAACAATGTAGTTACTACATTTACCCCTATTATCGAGTCCCCCCCATACTCCAAAGCAGTCACTGTCCATCAGTGTAGTAAAATGCCACACATTCACTATTTGCCTTCTCTGTGCTACACTGTTTTCCCTGTGATGCCCCACACCATGTGCACTAAGCATAATACCCCTCCATCCCCTTCTCCCTCCCGCCCCACCCGCCCTCCCACACCTCTTCCTTTTGGTAACCACTAGTCCCTTCTTGGAGTCTGTGAGTCTGCTGCTATTTTGTTCCTTCAGTTTTGTTCATTGTTATACTCCGCAAATGAGGGAAATCATTTGGCACTTGTCTTTCTCTGCCTGGCTTATTTCACTGAGCATAATACCCTCCAGCTCCATCCATGTTGTTGCAAACGGTAGGATTTGTTTCTTTCTTATTGCTGAGTAGTATTCCACTGTGTATATGTATCACCTCTTCTTTGTCCATGCATCTACTGATGGACACTTAGGTTGCTTCCATATCTTGGCTACTGTAAATAGTGCTGCGATAAACAGAGGGGTGCATATATCTTCTTGAATATGAGAAGTTGTATTCTTTGGTAAATTCCAAGGAATGGGATTCTGGGGTCAAATGGTATTTCTATTTTTAGTTTTTTGAGGAACCTCCATATTGCTTCCACAATGGTTGAACTAGCTTACATTCCCACCAGCAGTGTAGGAGGGCTCCCCTTTCTCCGCATCCTCACCAGCATTTGTTGTTCTTAGTTTTTTTGATGCTGGCCATCCTTACTGGTGTGAGATGATAACTCATTGTGGTTTAATTTGCATTTCCCTGATGATTAGTGATGTGGAGCATCTTAAAGAACTGAATATATTTATGAGATAAAACTAGCTGTTTTCACTTGCCAATGTAATTAGATATATCCTTATTGCTGAAGTTAAAAATAACGGGATGCTGTGGTTTAGAACTGATAGCAAAATCTATGGATTTTTGCCAGGAAAATGCTGCCTGCCATCTCTCTTTTAATTAAATCTCAATTTAATTAATACATATAAATATCTATATTTTATTTGAAAAATTCTATGTGACTTTAAATTTCAGTTGATAATGAAACATAAATTTGAACCTTATGAATAACTACGTTATACTTTATGTGCAACACAGATAATTAATAAAGTGAGAAAGGATTAAAACAGAAATAAATAATAAAAATATTTGACTCTCTTCCATAGAGAAAAAAATATTAGGACAACTTAGTGTTGTTTACTCCTACACAGAAAAAATGTCTTGTGCTTGAGGTAGTCACTGAAAGGCAAGTATAAAAGTTTTCTGTTTGTTCATCTTTTTTTAATCATACTCTGCATCCAGAAGCAGGTAAATAAACATTATACTATAGCTCCATAACAACAGGAACTGTTCAAAGGTGTTAGCATAATCACTTAAGAACTGTATAGGTCCTTTCTTCTTTACGGAAAGAAGAAACATGTTACCTGCTTCTTTTTAAGAACTTCTTGAACATCGTGAGATTTAGATGCTGAACAAAGTTTTGATGGTGTCTTTAAGTTTGAGGAGCTGTAAATCATTTTTGGATGGCCTGGAGTTGAAAATATCTATGAAACACAAATATGATTAAATTAAATCTTAAGTATGCTTTGAAGTAATTTTTTAGAGACACTGCATGTATTTCATTTTTTAAGTCTTCTATTCAAAAACCTCATTCATAAAACTAGTTTTTTATAGTCAACTGCCGTGCAAATAGACTTAAAAATTAATTTTTAGCAGTAATGTTGTGTTTCTGAATGCGATTGCACATACTTCTCTTTTAATTGAGAAAACACTTGTATGAGTTCACTGCCCCTATTTCTTATAACAACAACTCATTTTTTTGTTTCATTTTGGTTTTTTAGTTAATATATCCTGATAATTGCCCAACAATATATATATTTCTCATTCCTCTGTAAAGTGCACATACACTATCTTGTGGATGTGCTACATTTTAAGTAGCCAGTCCCCTTCTGATGGACATTCGGGTTGTTTTCAGTCTTTTACTACTGTAGAGTCTACAACTACTAGCCTTGTATGTGTCTTTCATAGTCACACACTATCACAGCTGTACCTCTGACACAGATTGTTAGGAGGAGGATCACTGGTTTGAAAATGCATAAATTCCTTTTCATAGGGGTTGTACCACTTAGCACTTCTATCATCCAAATCTTAGGTCCTCTGGAAATGGTTTATTATGTAATTTTAAAAATGGAACTAATTTTATCTTTTTTAAGTTACCCAGTTATCCCAATACCATTTACTAAAAAGTCCCTATTTTCTCCAATGATCTGAGATACTATGTTGGCAAATAATAGACATCTATTTGCAAGGAAGTCTATTCCTTAATCTTCTATTCTGTTCCATTGGCCTGCCTTTTCACGTGCCAGTATCAGATCACTTAGTCTCACAGACTTCATAGTATTTATCAGTGTCTAGTAGGACTGGCCCCCCTTGTTTTTCTCCAGTTTCTTCTATCTCTCTTTGAAATAATCACCATGCTGGAGAGTCAGTGTGTATATATATATTCCTAGAAGCAAAAGAAACTACCAAACCATATTTCAAAGTTTTACTTAAGGTTTTAATTATATTAAAGTGGAAAAATTATAAAAGAAATGGACTAATAACGACATCTACCTAGCAATAAATTGGCTAAAATTCTCAAGTTCCTATTAGCTTTGAATAGAAAAAAAAGTTTAACTAGCAAATTTCTGGCTGAATCACAAAAATTAAGGAAGTATATGTACCAGACACTACAAATCTGGATGATAATCAATTTGTTCATTTCTTTGTATCACTGAACAACTCTGCATGTGAGGGGCGCAGAAACACGTACCTGGCCGCCCTCCCCAGCACCAGCTGGCTGGCTCAGTGAGTGTGCTGCGTCACTCTGGCCACCACCCGCGGGTCCGAGACGATGTTTCACAGGGACTTTGTTCAGAACATAAGCACCTGAAGACTGTGGTTTGCTCATGATCTGCATATACAAAATAAACACATACGTGGTAAAAATTTCAAAAGTACACAAGAATGATACAAATTTAGGATAGGGATTACCCTGGACAGGAAGATAATGGGAAAGCAGGGTGCTTCAATCATCTGTAAGGTTTTCTTCTTAAGTGAAGTGGTGGATATACAAAGGATTGTTACTATCCATGCTTTTTTGGATGTCTGAAACAGGTCACAACAATATGCATGCATATATGTGTATATACTTGATACAGGTATGAATATTTAATATTTTCTGCTCCTGTCGATATGTAATGCTTTGGAAGACTTACGCATTTTAACTGACAACAGCTTAATACGAATAACAGTGATATGGTCACCCTAAAAACAAAGCAGTCTTGACTGCTTTAACAGAACAGAGTCTAATGGATCACAGAGATGACGGAATCACACTTTTACATACCATTCAGACAACACCTAGGGGAAGCATTCACCTTGAGCCTAACATGAAGGGGGACATAGATAAAAGAAATGGAAACATAGGTGCAAATAAGCAGGATGATGAATGGAGTTAAGACAATGTACTGTAAGAACTGCTTTATCTTTTTTAAGCTGAACGCACTCAACCCAAACAAGGGACAGGAGATTATCATTATCATCAATATCTTAAAGGCTCTGGTGAGAGGCACTAGGGATAAAATGAATTTTTTAAAAAATCCCATTTTCTTAGAGCTTCCCTTCCAGTTTCAAAAAGGAACTGAAATTTTCTACAGGGTAAAGGGTAGCTCAAAAGGGTAAGTACAAGACTGACTGATTCTAACACAAAACAAAGAAGTGCCAGATTCAGGGTTGTTCCGTGGTAGACAGCTGCTATATTTTAGTATTGAGAAGAATGACTGTTATTTCTTAAATATGTAGATTTATGGGTCCATATCTAGAGACTGACTATAAGTTTGAGAAGATAAAGCCAAGGAATTTGCACCCAGGTAAGTGATTCTGACGTAGAACGGCACTTCTCACACTTTAACCTACTGAGCTTGTTAAAACGCAGATTCCGAGACCCTACCCATGGCAATTTTAACTCAGTGAACTGGGGGGGAAGCGCAAGAAACTGCACGTTTAATCAGCTCCTAGACCTGCTGCTGCTGGTGTGCAGACCAAACCGAGGGGCTCTGATGGAGAAGACCCAAGGGCACCGATTGGGAACACTGCTCAGGAGCGGGAAACCAGCGGCCCTGTACCTCTCTGTGCACCCAGAGATTACCTTCTGGACACCTCCATGGACAGTAGAGGGAGGAGACTGGGCCACCAGCACTTGCTGCTGATGGAGGTGCTGCGGCAGGTGAGGGTGCGGCTGTGACAGGTGACTAAGCGTCTGCTGCTGCTGAAGCAGCAGCTGTGCCGGGGACTGCAGCGCTGGCTGCTCGTTGTTCTCCCTATGCCACAGGACTCGGATGAATCGGTTGTTCAGAACTGCTTCAGTGCTGGAAATGGCTTTCCTAGCCTCCTCATTGGTAAGATACTGGATGAGGGCTGCTTCTGGATCTCCCTTAAAAGCAACCTGTAAGGAAAAATAAAACCACCAACAAAAGAACAAATAAATTAACAAACAGTTAAATGAAAATAAATCATTGATAAAGAACTCTGAAGCAGACAACAGCCTGCTGAAGCCCACTGTGAAGCCTTTCTAAAGTTCTTTATACCCTAGGAGATGATGTACACATTTCAAAATTCTGTATAGAAGAATGTTAGATTTAACAAATAATCCTAGTAATGTTTGTTATTTAACTACTTAGGGAAAAGTTGTTAAGACACCTCCCTGATACCTTACATTCAAATACACTCCAGAAAAATAAAACATTTAATAACAACAAAAAAATTAATAAAAACCCAGAAGAAAAAAGTGAATATCTGTGTAATCTGAGGATCTGGAGTCTTTTTATGCCTATTTAAAAGGTAGGATCCATCAAGACAAACAGCAGATCTGATCACATAATTTACACCTCTGTCAGTCCAAATATGCCATAAACAATATAACTGACAAATGGAAAAGACATTTTAAATATATATAACAAGCAAAGGCTTGGGAAAGCATTAGTGTAAATGCCATAAGGAACAGGAAAAGGCAATGGACAGGTAAATCTTAAAGAACGGCAAAATT